CCATCAAGAAAAGACATATCAAAATAACTCTATTGATTTTGGTGTCAACCGCCAGGTAAATATTTTCTTTGTCAAACGATCGGGCAATATTGACCAGATTTTTGTACAAATCGAGGTAGATTTTGTTTTTGGTAATCGACCAGTACAGTAAAAACGCCAAATAATGTAGCGAGAAAATCTGGAACGTTAGAGGAATCAAAAAGAAAACTTTGTTCTTGACTGGGATGACGTCTGATGACCCCTGCGTGTAAAATTGAATAATTAATTTCATCTCTCTCAACCCAATGGAAGCAATGCCAATGAATAGGGCGACACTATAAAAACGGTACAGAAATTTTCTTGGGCCGTTGCCGAAATTTAGGGGGTGGACGCCGAAAATGAAGGCCAGTCCGAAGAGCAGGCTTGGTCCGCACCGGGGCATGTTTGCCAAACAACTGGTAAAAAATAGCCTTCTCTATCATATCAGATATGACCTTTGACAGAATGGGGTTGGAAACTTTCCAGCTTATTTCACAGATACAATAAAAACAAAACATTCATGGTGGCACGTCGAGCGCTGGGAATTGACGATGACATTTATTGAAAGGAAAGTTTAAATGAGACGTTCATTTTCTTCGCCGCACCGTGGAACAATGCCAAAAAAAATAATGGTTAAGGGGCGGAATTGCAGCACGTTTGAATCAATAATGAAGCAATTTCCTTTTTATATTAGAAAGAAAGTCAAGTGGCTGTCGACGAGTCGTTGGCAATCATGTGAAATTGGATCAAGATCGTTACAAGCGTGGCAAAATTTGAGGCAAACTGAAAAAATTTTATATTCAGTTAAATTTACAATTTTCCTTTAATTTAATTTTATTTTTACTTACCGACATCAGAAAGGTCCTGTTGAGATTTATAATGTGGCAAAGTTTGAAATATTTTAACCCACAATGTAAGACTTGTCTCCGAAACAATTCAATCTAAGTGGAAATCAAATTTATTTCATAAATTTGTCTTGGAATTTATTTAAAAATATATTTTTACCTCTTCTCCGATTTCTGGGTCTAGATTTGCGTCCATTCTTATGATAAACTCCTTCGTTGCGTTTAACTAAATTCAGAGTTTAGTCTTTTAAGGTTGTAGAATTAAAGGTTTCATGCCTCAAGTACGGCTTTTTCACAAGTAGAGAGAAGTACGTACAAGTTGAATAGACAGGAAATTATTCTGGAAAGTGAGCCGATGCAAACTATTAACATATATTTTGACGCTAGTAGGTTCTTCTCTGCATTATCTATCGTGACGCAGATGTAATAAGCAGCCATTAAAATGTAGAGGAATTCAACGTGAGAGTAAAAAAAGAGGACAGGCTGGAACAATTTAAGCGCCCCTTTGGCCAGCATGCAGAGTGTCCAGTGGGATTGTCTCTTCTGGGCAATGAACTTGACAGAAATGTTCGGGCTAGAAGTCTAAAAATTTAATTATTACAGTTTTTATCATTTATAAATTTTTCTATAACAACCTTTGCCAAAATTTCCTTGTTTAGAAAATATGTGATGTGAAAAATCGCTCGAATGATAATAATAAATTTGCATCTCAAAACAAAGCCAATGATAATCGTGAAAGCAAACTGTGTAAAAACCAGTGGGAGAAAATAGTTTCCAATTTTTGCCAGGGCAAGAATTGAGAACAAAAGCGAGGGAACGTAGCTTGAAAGAGAGAAGACGAGAACCCCATTCATAAATTTCCCGACTCGTCGAAACACACTGTGCCGATCGAATTTCTCCAGTGCATGGACAATTTGCGTGTACCGTTCGTTTCTCATTACAAACCAGAAACAAGAGAGCGCCAGGAATGAGGAGGCGAATGCTTGGAAGATAATTGGCGTGGCTATGTAAATGATATTTGAGCCGAACATGGCACCGCCGGAACGATTGATAAAGAAATTGGTCTGCTCCCTCAAATGAAGACATCCGATCGCGAAAAACGTTGTGAACAAAGCGAAACTGTAGCCGCGGTAGAGAAATTTCCAAGGGCGGCTGCGGCTTGCGGGAAAGTGAACGCCAAAAACAGAGGCGAGACGGAAAAACGAGGTGCAGTGCTCCATGTCTGGAGCGGTACTAACAATGGATCGAATACATGTACAAAGTTTCTTCATTCACGGGGAAATATGAAAAAAAGACTGATCGTCAAATTGATTTTCACTTTGATTGTGTTTATTTAAGAAATAAATTGAATTAAAAAAAAAAATAGAAACAAGAGGCAACAAAATTTTTATTTATTTTTAATTACTCTTTGTACGTTACTTTATCATTTAATTTGAACAGCTCTTAATTGAATTTCACCACATGTAAGTGAATACGGAAAATTAAATGAGATTAATCTTGGTGTTGGTCCTGTCGAGGGGTAGAACAGTTTGTCAAGTCTCAAGTAACACCATGAATTATGTCCTTTTCCACCTGTCGGACGACGAGGCTTCTTGCAACAGGAGAGAGCAGAAAATAGACTCCTTTCTCTCTCTCGCCCGCACAAAAGGGGCCCGCACTCGTTCCTAATGGTCGAGCCAACCGCAATTTGCACCCTCTTGTGGGTAGCGTTATCCTCTAATTCCACCGAGCCAGCGTGGTAGAGACGAAAACAGAATCTCGCTATTACGTGCGTGCACAGTCGTATAAAAGAAGGAGCGGAGGAAAAGAGATGAAACGCCTCTCTTTCTGCATGCAAACTCGCCGTGTTTTTCTTTGAAGAGACCCGGCTGCATTCATACTCGGCTTTGAAAACTAGAAAAAAAATCGATGCTTATGCATGAGCGGAGCTGAATAAATGACATGCACCTCGGTGTTTTTGTTCAAACTGTCGGGCCAGATTATTCGCCCCAAGGCTTTGCGGCGCAACCCCGAAAATAATCAAAAGAAAAGTAGTGTTGAAAGACTGCAGCAATTTCTAAATCAAACTTCTCCCTTTCTGCGTGACACGTGATTATTTTAAGAATACGACGGTTCGTATTTTCCGCAATCAAAACGCCAATCAACGTATTTTATTTTACTTCATCACGTTAATCACGCACGTGTCTGTTAAAAATACAGTTGCAAAAAAAAAATCGGCACATGAACTTTCTGGAGCGATTCAAACGCTCGAACTTTGCCAAAAATGAAGCTTGGTTTTTCAGGCATGATCAAAAGTAAAGTAAATTTTGGTTAAAATATTTTTTTTTTACATTAAAATATTATAAAAATGAATTTTAAAGAGTTATTTTTCATAGAATTTATAAATGAACCCTTATTGTTTAAGTCTAATCAAATCTTTACAAAAGATAGGAGAAATTTCTGACAATTTATTTGATAAAAATTAAATTTTCACCCCCATTGTTGCAATTTGACTAAATAATAGGATTCATTAAAATCAATTCCAAAATTAAGGTGAAAATAATACATTTGAAAATAAAAAATTTCATTGATGTGATCAATTTAGATTATTCATGAAAAAGAAAATAACAAAACTTTTTATGAAATATATACTTTTTCGCTCTTATCAAGGAAAAAGAAGCTTTCATACACTCTAGATTTTCTACAATAGAGATAAACCTTTTAAAAAATGCATCAACTCGAGCACTCTGACGCGTGTGGTGATAACGGTGACGCCGAGGGAGAGGACGATTAAGCTGTAGATCGATTAAAAGGGACGGTGCACGCGCGTCTTGTTTCCTGTTTCAATGACAAGTTTTTAATTTCGTTCGTTCCCTCTCGGCAGCATGTATTGCGAGCCCAGACCGCAAACTTTCTCTCCCCCAATCCGTAATAATGTTATCAAAAATTGCTAATTTAATCTGCAAGCACCGGTCCCCCCTGTTCGTGGCGAAAAAACTGAATGCATTTTTGATTAGAAAATCAACGTGGTGACAATGCCCCGCACGCATATAGTGCCGGAACACGGCTGTTTCCGGGACTTTCGTTTTATCTGCACCGCATGGAGTGCAAACAAAAAGTGGCAGCGGCGGCGGCGGCGGTGCATCGCAATAAGCTCTCCCGCTTGATTGTCTCGAGAGCGGCATCTTGATTGAGTCGCTGCACAACTTCAATGGAGTTTCCTCGCCCGAAATTGTAATTTAAAAAAAGCATCTCTTCAGACCGACTGAGAGCTTCTGCCTCTAATAAGCTCCTTTTACGAGATGAACACGCGGCTTTTAAAAAAACACGGGGAGGAAGAAAAAGAAGAAGCTCCTAAACACTTTATGCAACCTGCTCGGCACGGGAGTGGAGCATGTTGCATATCTCTGATAGAGTCGGGATTGGCAATTGCCGACGAGGGATCTATTTTTGTAATGGAAAAACGGGAAAATTTAACTTTTAAAACAGTTTTGTTTGTAATGAAACTGCAAAAAATATTTTAAATTTATTCAGTTGTTTCATATTTTCATATTTAAAAAACAAAATAAATGAGAAAAAGGTTATTTTTTTTAACCAATTCAATTTAACAAGTTGGTGTAAATTTAATCATCTAAAAATTAAATAATTATCAACATTAATCTTGTTAAGAAATAGATCAAAATCCTTTATACAAGAAAAATTTATGAAAATTAATTTAAAAAACCAATGATTTTTCCGTTTGATAGCTTGAAAGTTAAAAGTCTTTTTATAAAATTTTATAAAAAATTACTGTCGTTATTGTTGCAGTCTAAATTTATTCTGTTAAATTGATTAATAAGAAAATCATTAAAATTTTCTTATGATGAAAAAAGTAAATTTAAAATCCTTCGCATGTTTGATTGTTACATGTTGAAAATAATCAATTGTTGGGTTGAAAATGTTGAATCGTTTGACAAAAAGGCAACACTGACAAAGATTTCAAGTTTTTTCTCTGCCCACGCAAACAAAAATTAATCCCTTGTTTATTTGTTTCTATTGTTAGTTCAAGGAAAATTTTAATTTGGCCGAATATCTGAAAGAAAATTTACTTTTTTTAAAATTATTATTATTTTTTTAAATTAAACAAATAATTGCATGATTTTTTTTGTTTTGGCTCAGGTTGACGACGAGGAGCACCACGGCGTGGATGACGTGCGCACCCTGATCCTGGCCACCCTGAGCAGCGCCAACCGCGGCCGCGTGTGCTGCCTGGTGTGCGAAGGGCAGATGGCCGTGTACGACCGGTACCCATTGCTGGACGGCACCTTCTTCCTGAGCCCGCGGCAACACGCCGAGCACAACTGCTTCAAGGTCTACTTCGACGGACGCATTCAGTTCCTGTACGCCGTCTGCATGGGCTGCCTCGAGGGCTGGCGGGCGCGCATCGAGTGCCGGGCCTGTCGGCGCCCCTGGGACGGCTCCTCGCTGGTGCTTGGGACCATGTACTTCTACGACATATTCGCCGCCACCCCGTGCTGCGGCGACCGCGTCAAGGTCAGTGTCATTCGCATTCATCACTCGTCCGAACACCCCCGTTCGGGTTGATTAGTCCGGGGACTTGGGGATCTTGTTTTCCCGCGTAATTTGCATTTAATTCAACACTCTCAAAATCCAATCCGTTCGGATTTGTTTTTCGGCACGTGTGCTCATATTACCTCTGAGATTTAATGCACGCGAGTGTACCCCTGTTGTAAAAATAAGGCATTTTTTTCACACTCCATGTGCATAGTGATAATTGCCTTTTTTATTTCCTCTCTCGGCTGTTTTTATGGCGATGCAAATGGCTTCAATGACTAAATTCGCTGCAGCTCGTGAGCGTTAGAATAATGTGTTTTATTGATTTTTCCGCATTATTTTTTATAGCGCTGGTCTGGCGCACTTAAAAAGTGTTAACGGCTCTATAAATTCAGCTCGTCCCTCTTTTTATTTCCGCTGCAATTAAGTTCCGTTTTTTCATTGCTCTTTTCCAAAGGAGCTTACAAATGGAAATGGAAAGAAAACAAAACCAAACGATTCGCAACTATTTCCGCGTGGAAGATAATTATCATAATCAATATTTAAAGGGACAATAAAGTTTAAAAAAAAAAACATGAAGTTATAAACAAAAATTATTTGAAAGAAAATATTGAGAATTTGAATTTACTTAAGTTTGTATGTAGAAATAAAATCCCAAATAGTGCTTTACAATAATTTCAAAATAATAATGAACAAGATATATGCCCAAACGGAAAACAAATCAATTTTACATTTTTAGGTTATTTTAATTTACTGCTAGCACTTACTTAGATCACCTAGAAAAATTTAAAAAAAAAATTGTCTATTGCTAGTGTTATTTTGAATTCTCCTTCAATTGAATGTTAACGAAAATTTTTAAAAATAACAAAAGGGTATAATGAAAATAGTTGTAATCATTTTAATAATCTAAAAATATAATTTGTTTGAAGAAAGAATTCAGCAGAAAAATTTTGATTTTTTGATTTATTATTTTATTTTTACTATTAAACTTCAAATTATTCTTGTGGTAGAATTTCACGGTTGAGGACTGATTCATATTGTTTTCAAACAATAAACAACTCACAAAACCCATCCCATCAAGAAAAAGCCGACTAAATTCAAATCACCATTCAAGTTATTCAAAAAAAAAAATTTTTCATCTGCAGTTTTCAATATTAATTATGGAAAAATTTGGTATTATTTCTGTTTACAGTGCAACACATGCACTCGGCCGCTGATGCAGCAGCAAGACCGCCTCAACTTCTTCTCAGACTACTCACACCCCCTGGCCTGCACCCGATGCAGCTCAGTGGACACCCACTTCGTCAAGCCGCTCTTCTCCACCTTCTACCGCACCCTCTACCCCGAGGACAAGACCAAGAGCTCCGAACGGCCCTAGAAGAAAAACACCTTTGCCAGCACACATACACGTCCGCTAGTTTTCCTCGTAGCTGAGCGAGCACGCAAGTATAGCAGATAAGAAAAATCGGTGTCCTCATTTGTCTTATGAATTTTGGTACTACTTTATGCGAGTTTCTGCGGTCTAGCGAGATCACATTACAATTGTTGAGATAGTAGAGGCACACGTGTACAGTCGAAGCAATACATGAATTTCTAAGAACTCTCGTACGTGGCTCCCGAAACTTCCAACAACGTCCACTGCCTCAATAATTTCCAAGTTGCGTATAAAAACGTCGTGTGTAATAAAACACACAACAATTAAACAAACGATAGAGGCGCCGACGACTGCGAATCGGCCCCGCAAGAGCAGAAAAAAGAATCACCGCCAGTGTACAAATGGGAGATTTAGATTATTATAGTAAAAAATAATTAATTAAATACTGATTGTGAGACAGACACACTTTGACACGTTAATGTTGACACTCTTAAAATATTTATATTCCCGTCGCGTTTACCACACGCTTAGTCCAGAGATTGACCCGGGGAAATAGCACTTTTGGACTAATGCCGCACGTCTTTTAAATTCCTCTTATTAATTTCTCGGCCGTAATTTGTGTCATTCTTAGCCAAATTTAAATGATAGAAGCGTTTTTAAAACAGAATATATGGTAAATGACACGTATTTATTCGATCGAGGGTGTTGATTTTGATTTGTTATAAAAATAGGAAAAAACCACGATTGCAAATATTAATCTGTACTTCTCCTAATCATTCTCATTATCAATGGATATATAATACAAGCGCGTACTTCTTATTACAGTGTAAAAAAAAAATTGGTAAATCCTACCAGGAGTTGAGGTTTTATTGCCATTTTACCCCTGCAGTTTTAATCCAGCACTTTTAAGATGAGCAATTATGAAATACAAGTTGTTGCGTTGAATTTTAATTGACTTTTACAACTTACTCAATCAGGAAGAACAATTTATTAATTAACCAATGAAATAGCGCTAAAGCAATATACTCTGGAATTGGCAATTACCTGCAGTACATACAAACAATAACAGCAGCACCCTAAAAAAATTATCAAGCACCGCGTCCGAGCGCTAAAAGCGAGTCCGGCGGTGATTTTTACCACCGAATTTTAATTGATTGGGAAATTACTCATTTAAAAAATGAACAACAAATTGCAGTGATTCGTGGAATTGGGTTTTAGACCGGTACAAATTTGTGAAAAAAAAAATATTACTTGATGCTATTTTGCGCTGTTTGATTGGGCGACGAGTTTATCAGCGGCCCACCTAGTGGGCAAAAACCACAAATAATTATTCTACCCTGTACCTTAGACTTCATATTTTAAGTGTTTTTTAATCTATCGAGTGTGCTTTTTAGCAAAGGACTCAGTTGAACAAAAAAGTAGGCGACTTCCCACACCATGCTTATAGACTACGGTAAAAATAATTATTGCTCTAGTTTTTAAATAATTTATTTATTTATATTTTTTACATTTTTTATCGTTAGTTAATTTTTATATTTAATCAGTCTATTTAGTGGATCAATTTCTCCAAAGATTAAAAGTAAAGCTTTAATTTTCATCCTATTGGTGAATTAATTAATTTAAAATCAATGTATTTAATTTTAGTCTTCTTTGTACAAAACTTTAATTTTTCTTTTGTACTTGACTGCTATAATTGATCATTAGGAGTTTATTTTGTGCTGATTAAATTATATTTCGCTGAGTCCTTGTTGCCATACCTCATAGTTCCATTATTATTGCAGCTATATCATGTACAAACAGTTTGCTTTGCTCATTTTTGCTCCTACAAAATGAGAAACGCAAAATTTACCTGACGAACAAACACAAAGAATAGTTGCAACTCTAAATATTAAATTGCGTTTTATCTCGACACACACTATATGTATTTAAATATTTTTACTTGTTGGTAGTGAGGTACAAATGAACAAAACAAAAATTAATGCGACGCAAGTGGTAAAGTTAAAAGAGAGATCGCCCGCTTAGCTTTCGCGCCGCACGCCGTTTCCGACGTTAAGTTTTGTGCCGCGCCGAACGCTGCGGCGATTTCTCTCTAAATACAAAATCTTTATTATAATTTGTTACGTCTCACGAGCAGCAGGGATTTTTCGTTTTTGGGTCAAGCGACTGTTTTTCTTTTGATTCAAAACATATCTCAAAATTCTTTCGGAGAACTGCTCGTAAAATCTTCTTCTTCTTCTTTCTCTCGCTTTTTGTCTAAAATAGAAATAATAAAGATTAAAGGGTGCAACTCGTGGAGGTTGATCTTTTGTAAATAGAATTTCTCTTCACATCAAAGTGTTTGGTTCAAATTTCTCGCAAATTAGCGCCAAATATTCAAACATTTTCTCACAACTTAACTGCAAATTAACAAAAAAGAATTAGGTGTTAAAGAAAAAAGCTATTACTCCCACACATTCGTACGTATGTAAGGATATAATTATATATATTTACTCGTGAAAAAATTAAGCTGTTTTTCATAAGGAACAAAATGAAGGAACTTGAATTGTGACGTTTTGAGTACAAATTGCTGATTGAGTTGAAGTAGTTGTTAAGTACGGTGAAAATTTAAATTTAGCATTAATTAGATATTTAAAAAAAAAATGGACAAATTCGACGAAAAAATTGAAATGCTGTCGTTTAACAATAAGTTGATCGTGTACAGAATTATTAATTATTACCATTAATTAATTCGCTCGGTTAGTTTTGCGTTTGGTAAACAATTATTGCATTTTATACTTATTACGGCATGATGTTTGCGCGGTCCTAAAATTAAAACTGTCTCGATATTTACGCATAGTTGAACTATATCATATAGTGATGATGTGAATATTATACTCTATATAAACAATTAAAATTATAATTATCTCTTTGAACAAAAAAAGTAAATACGATGAGAATAATATTATTGATGACTAATTGCATATGTGTGAGTTTATTAAGCGATTGCTCAAAAGAATTAAATGGGAAAGATACCAATACTCAATAAGAAAATTAAATGAAGAACAATTAGATAATATCAGCAAGTCTTGGTCTCTGCTGTTCAATATCAGTTAAAGCTTTTGCTTTACGAGCTGCTGGCTAGACTAGAGATTTTGCTGATTCCTCTCGTCTCAATTTACATACTTAATTGTGAACCAATTTATCAACAACTATATAAATATATATCGATAGGCAATTATTAGATATGATTTCATTGCCTTTAGCTCAAACAAATTCTCAAAAAATAAAGCTTCTCAACAATTAAAAGACTTGATGGTGAATTTTGGAAATTTTATCTAGGTGTTCCTCAAGTAGGCGTTGCGTCCCCATAATTTACAAAAAAAGATATGTACTTAATTTTTTCTTAAAATTTCTCGCGCTGGTATGATAATTGGCCTATTATACAAAATCACTCATAAATATATATTACAATTGGATATAAATCTATCAATGGTACTTAAAAACAATATTCAAACACACAATAACCACTAATCGGAACTGTTCTTTAAAAAATTCAAGTTAATTAGTGTTCAATATAGGCTGGAAAGCTTCTCTCTTCGCAAACACCGTGTTATTAACCCCAACCACTTTGCAGAAAATATAAATATATAAAGCGAATCAATACAGGAATAGATGAAAATAATAGAAAACAACTACACGTTATGTATACAGGAAATATAACAGATGCAAATAATACGACTATAACAATATGTATATCTCAATTATTAACATTTTGCAATAGTTTGTTCAGTGCTTGTAAAATTGTTCATAAAAAACCAATCCCAGAATGAACTCTCTCGATTAGGGGGAGTTTGAAATAAAAATTGGTCGTCGGCCAGATAACAAAAAAAATTGGCGCAATTTTCCCTAATCGAGAGGGACCGTGTTAAATTCATGGCTCGACAATTAGCTGCATGTCGAAATGAGTAAAAAATTGATGGCGAGGGCTGCACTTGGCGTATAAATACCCGAGTTATTAAAATAATACTCCGATTTCCCCCCGACTTTTTATTTCCCGTTGCCACCGTAATCAGATTAAAACGCAGCAGCCAATTTTCCGGGCGTAATTCATTTTGACAAATAGCTAATGCGAATCGAGAGAGCCTATGTAAATTTGCCTACACGCATAATACACAAAAGCGCGGAGAGATGACTCACCCCCCGGTCGCCGCCGCCGCCGCGATGATTTAATTAATTAAAAAAGAGAGAGACAGCCCCGCCGTATCAAAAACCCCTTGTCCCCGTGTAGTTTGCCGCCGTTATTTATTTTGAGCAATATGATCAGAGTGAATGCGCGATTCAAACAAAAGGAGCAGAACAACACCGCTAAAAGAAAGTCAATACAATGATAAAAGCAGAGAGGTGATTCGATTAAAAGCTCAAATGATGTGACGATGCTTTTAGTATTTTATATAAATATATTTATTATACATTATATCTACACACGATTATATTTACCGACGAGACAGTATGTGTATAGAGTGGATTACAAATAGAAAAACACACACACACGCTATTGGAGCCTGCATGATAAACACACACACTCGTATACATACTAATTACACATACACATGGAATAAGCGAATTAATTAATAATAAAATAATGGACAAATATTTATGATTATGCGCGCGTAATTTGGATGTAGTAAAACATAGAAATGCTTTTTCGAGAAATTTTTGGCGAGAGGGAAGGAAAAATTTGACATTTTGAAATAATCCCCTTTTTGACGGAGCCGACCATTTCGCTCCTTTTTGGTATCCAAAAATAAAATGTGAATATTGAATAACCGATTTTTGATGATTTTTTCGCCTAGTATTTAAGCAATTTTGATAGCTGGCGCACTTTTTCGACGTATGGATATGAAAACTGCCTTATGTTTTTGACTCACGACACGCACTTTAGAAAATAAAACACTTTTCCAAATTCGATGTTGTCCTTGTGCTCTTTTGATATATAAAGGAAAAAAACATTCACGAGTAATATTAAAATTTAGATATAAAACCAAAGAACAATAGAGGAAAAAATTCAAAATTAATTAAAATTTTAGGAAATAGGAGTAGTTTAAGGGTGAAAAATGAACATGTAAGCAAAATTTTTCCGCACGGGGTGTGAATAGAAAGTTTGAGAAGCGCGCTGCAGAAAACAGTTTTCATGCCTAATGCTGTAAATAGAAATTGTTATGACACGTGTTGAGTTATTCCTGAAATTTAGCGATATTTTTGTAAAAGGGTGAGGTTAAAGAGGAGGGGGTGGCTCAATAAATCGATCACAGGCGAGTATATTCGAAGTCACCAACAAACTTTTTTGGCTCTTGAAAAATAAAAATAAATTTGTAGAAATTTGAAAGAAAAAAACGTGAAAAATTATTTATTTTTAGGAAAATGATATTTTGTTACTGTAGCATTTTTAATTGTCCCAAATAATATGTGAATTGAATTGTGATTTATTTTGTAAAAACGAAAAAAAAATGTACTATGGTACTGAACCTGGCTTTGTGTCGGAAAATTTAAAATTGTAATTTTCCTCTCTGCCTAGTCGGAGATGGAATATAACTCAAATTTTTGTACTTAAATCAAAATAATTAACTGGGTTCGGTACCATAAATACCGCGCGTTCATTTCTCATGTACTTACAGCACCACGACCAGAAACTTTTCTCTTTCGATAATTCCAATGGGGAGAACCAAGTGTAACGAATGGACCAGTAAAGAGAGTATAGTTAAAGTTAGTTGAACAAACCGACCGTCCAAACGAGAGATGTTGAATGGATAGAGAAAAATATAAAAAAAAATTAATGAATAAAAAACACTCCCCAAAGTTAACTCTCGTGGCGTGCGTTCAAAGTTTATTGTTTTTCACCCAAGCTGTGACGATGGAAGGCGTGAAAATGATTTCGAGCTTACGAAGTAACGCTCAGTACTTGATAAAAAAATTAGTATAAATTTCCTAGTTAGTACTTTGCTAGAAAACAGACAAAAATTTAAAATTAATATAAATTGCGATCTTGAGACAACTGATGAAATGTTTAGGCCTACTCGTTAATTAAAACAGTTTCACACGTGAACGCGAAGGCTGAAAATTTGTCAAAATACAACACGAACTACTTTTTGAGTAAGGGAAAGTGACGCTAAGTGATGCTAACAGTTAAGGAGCCCTTTTGATACTTTTTCACAAGCAAAAAATTTTGTAACCCATATTTTTAGGCGTTTCCTATACTCTACGTGTCTATTATGGATAAAGCGTATATAAATTACAACCTACACTCCGCGCATGATACTATGTAATAATCATTATAATTATACAGCTATTTATCCCCAACACACTGCTATATGATATATACATTATATTCTGTAACAAAAAACCCATCCAACCATTTTCACCTTGTAACCTTTGAAATTGCAAATAAAAATCCGCATGGTTACTGGAGAATATTCAAACTTTGGCATTTCTTATTTTATCTCATGAAACCCTGTAAAATAAAAAAGTGACATTTGTAGACATAAGAACAACAGTTAAATATTTATTTGTCTTGATTCGTTCAACAAACATGAATATTTCTATATCAAAATATATATTCATCATTCAAGCACTTTTCCAAAACAAAGCCAAAATATTAGTTATTTTCAACACATTTCTCTTAATCACAATTGTTAAGGCACAAGACTTCGATTAGTTTTTTTTTCCAACAAAGAGTTACACATACACATAACTTGAATAAAATACGTATTTCATGACAAATATAAGTTATTCGTTTTTTTCTTTTTAATCCAGGTAACTTTTTTATATGTTATCTTCTTTGATTTTTGTAGAAGGCAGTTCTCTATAATTAGAGAGAATTCAAAAATGGCACGTGCAATAAAAGGAATCACAATTTGGTCGAGTCGTTTTGCTTGTCACCTTCGTTGTTGAACATACTCAGCTGCTTTCCAGGGATGACGGCGTCCTGGTGTTTATGGCGCCAGTCTTTGATTGCCCGCCAGATGCGCAGTTCAACTCCGCCCCTATTCGCAACACTTTTATAGATCTGATAAATGGAAATCTTGCAATTCTATTACCGCAAATTAAGCCTCTTCAGATCGTCGCGACTAACAAAATAGAGAAGATCATCCAAAGTGTACTCCTCCCAAACAATCTGCAGAACAAAAATCAGGAACAAGGGTTCAGTTGGAAAATGAGAACAAACCTTTTCCAAGGTAATGTTGTCCAGCTCGAGGGAATTCGCCCAGTCGATCAGCTTTTGGTCAATAACCCCAGGTGAGTTTAGGCTAACATTTATCTGTGGCACTCCAGAATCAGCACTAAAATTAAAATGAATTATTTTTTTAAACATAATTTTCAAAAAATAATGAAAACAAACTATTAGAAAAATTCAGCAACAAAAATTATATTTTGCTGTTATAATTTTTTTCTGATTTTACCTGGGGGTGCCATGGTTAAATGCTGGTTCAACAGGATTCTTGAGAAGATGGGATAGTAGCTGTGTTTGATTGCTGCGCTCTTCAATGATGTGCTTTATAAGATCCTGATAGGCCCTTTCACCATCCACCAGCTTTTTCAGCAGCCGCTGATTTTCCAGGCGCAGTGCATTGATCTGATCAAGACACTCGCTGCGGTACTTAGGTGTGGGGAAGCTGTCCACCGTTTTGTGCGATTTGATGGAGTTTATTGTTGACATTCCTGAGGTTGACCCCTCTTGCTGCATATCGGTCGATCCTTGCTGACCCAACCGTTCCTGGCCGGCCAAGTTTGCACCCAGCTCTTAAGAAGGGAAAGAAAGAATTTTGATGAAAAATGAATAATAAATAGTAAAAAAATAAAATACCTGGTGACAAAACCGTAATTGCTGCCTGAACAGCGCTTCGAACCAAATTGTCTAGGGCAAACATCCAGTGAGGTTTGATGCTGTGTGAACGAAGGACAACATTTACCTAGAAATTATTTATTGAATTTTAAGGGTAAACAAATTAAATTGACTGAACTCACAGCATTATGAAAAAGATATATGGCAACGTGGAGCTGATTGATGGCAGCAGCATCGAAATCCAGTTCCTCTTTCAGAATGTGAATGGCGTTCTCGATCACTTCTCGGTTTTGATCTGGGAAAAACTCTCTAAAGCCTTTCATCAACACCAGCAAATGATTCTGCAGAAAAAAATGAGTTATTCAATAAAAATAAATTAAATTAATGAATACCATTGAAAGGACGGTGTTCTCTACATCACTCTCAATGCTTTTCATCCAAACGTCGCAGATCTTTTTCTCGTCCTGGGTGAGCACCCTCGTCAGGGTTGTCCTTCTCTGCGAGTCCTTTTTCAACAAATAAAATCCGTCTTGTTCTGCGGAGTCTTTAGGAGATTCGATGTCAGGAGAAAGAAGAGTGTTATTCGAGAACCGACGGGTATTGAATGGATTGTCTTGCTCCAGATCGCAAGTTGAGATGCTGAAAATGTTCTCTCTTAATATCCAACTTGAATTTGTGTTAAAAAAATTTACCATAAGCTTTTAAATAATTTAGTATTATTTTAATTTATGTGATGCAAACAATCATTTATTTATTGATGAAATTAGCAAATTTGTAATTAAAACTCAAACTGCAAGTGAGGAAGACACAAAAACAGTACAACCCACACACTGCAAATTACCTGCTGTACGAGAGAGCTGCTGGCATGCTGATAGGGGTCAAGAGACCTTTATTTCGCACGGGAGGGTTCGAGTGTGTGATGCTGAAGCCGTTAGTGCTGCACAAAATATAGAGAAATGAGGCTGGTGAGAGGTATAAAAGGTCTAGAGATGACATGCTGGGTTAGATTATTTGAGACGTATGTGGATAGAATGACTGGGAACATTTAAAATGAGTGAAAATCTATGCTTTAAACCGGGAGACAAATATTCAGCAAAAAGCACGTTAAGTATACCATTCGTCTGGGGAGCTGGCCACAAGATTTTGTGCAGATTTTGCATTCAGCTTGTCAGCAGGTACGGAAATGCTACGGTTCAGTTCTTGAGAGGTGGAAATTCTAGTCACACCCTTCTTTTTCCTAAAAAATTTAAAACTGAAAATTGATTCAGGATTTGAAGTTAAAATGGTTTACTCGGTCAAAAACAGATCTTCAAGAAGTTCGGTTGCAGTTGCTCGCTCGTCGGGAGAAGGTTCGAAGCACCTTAAAATGAAGTTCTTTGCACGCTCAGATAGTTCAGAAGGAATTTCAGGGTGGATCTTGTAGTAGCCCACTTTGAAAACAGCTGCCTGGGGAGAACCAAGTTCGATGAATGGAGGATTGCCTGTTGCCATTTCGACAATCGTGCAGCCCAGAGACCAAATGTCAGCCTATTTAAATTTAAAGATAAATATTCTAAATACATGTATTTGAATACTTACAGGGGCGCCATAGCCTCTTTGGCCCTTGTCAATTACTTCAGGTGCCATGTATTGTAAGGTGCCAGTGAAGGTTTCAGTGCTGGGACACAAGCCAGCCAGTCTCTTCGAAGTGCCAAAATCGGAAATCTTAACAACACCGCTGTAGGTGTTGACCAAAACATTGTCTCCTGATTCAAATTATTAATAAAAATCTTTAAATCGTAACTGATTTGTACCTTTAATGTCGCGATGGACTATTTTCTGGTCATGTAAATATTTCAATCCTCCGAGGATTTGTTTTGTGTAGTAACCTATGGTGGACTCGTTTTCCTTCAAAGGACCCCACTTTGATCTGAGAAGTGCCGAAAGACTCCCACCAGGCACTTGCTCCATGAAAATTTTAAAGTAGCCCCCTTCCGAAATAGAGCCGAGGTATTGGACGATGTTGCGGTGCCTGAGTTGAGAGTGAAGTCGGATTTCTTCATGCAAAGGCTGGACGTCACCAAGATTCTTCTCAGGAATTTCTTTCACAGCAATTCTCACCTGATTAAATTTCAAAATAATAAATAAAATTTTCTATAAATTATTAAATAACTTACTTGGGTGTTCAAATCTCTGGCTGCGAAGACGCTTCCGTAAGTGCCTTTGCCCAAGATGATTTTTCTCCCGGAATCGTCCAACTCATACTCGTATTTCATTTGCTCGGAAGGCAAATCAACATCCAAATCAATCACTCCCTCCTGATCAACCGTCAACTCAAGAATGAGGTCATAAAACCTGTCTCGGGACTGAACTGAGGGCAGGAACATTTGAAAGTCGTCCGAGTTTTCATTTACATAGAGGAACAGACACCTTGTGTCACGCTTGCACAAACTAATAAAGCCAGTTAGTTTAATTTGAAAATTTTGGTTTAGATTTATTTTACCTGACGCTGCGAATCATGCTGGCAGTGAAGAGCCAGTCGTGCTTCTGCCGACACTGACCCTTCAGACAGTCGATGCACAAATTTACAACTTGAATTGACTTCTCCTCGGCTCCAAGGTTAAAATTGACAAAACTGGGCATGTAGATTTTCTGCGGCTCCAAGATTAGCACCTGAATTTTAAATCAAGTTTACATGTAAATTTTTTAAACATTTTGGTCGTACTGGGAATCTGATTGCTTCGCCGACATCTTCATTTGTGCACTCGATGAAATACTCCATCCAAAAGTTAAATATTTGCTCTTCAGGAGAGACTTCCGCGTCTTCGTTTTTCTTTCTGAACCGGTTTATCAAGGTAATATTGCCAATGGTTGATTTCAAATACCTGCAAGATTAGATATTTAATTTTTTATCGTTATTAATTTAATTTGCCACATACCAGTTGGGAGGTTTTAGCTGAAACATGCACTCGGCAGCCTGAATGGCTTTGGTGTAATTTTCAGCCAAGACGCTGATTTCAAAGAAAGTTGCTATATCCCAATACTCTTGCAGTGAAGAGAGGCTGCCCTTTTTGCCTATGAGGTTGTTTAAAACCATGCCTAAAGAAATTTTATTAAATAGTAGAATAACATTCCGAGATTTTGAATTAATGAACCTATGTGTTGTAGTTCCTCAGACTTTGAGAATTCATTTCCAGCTATAACTAACAGCGTTGCCAGATTGATTCCAGCGTACTCGTTGGGCTGAACCTCGAAGCCTTTGCGGTACCAGTGGATGGCGTTGGTCAGACTTTCCTGGTCTGTGTGTCGAGATTCGACAAAAATGTCTTTGTAAATTCGGCCGCAGAGGCAAAGCATGTCAGGGTAGTGGTTTTCCTTTTTCTGCAGCGCTTTGGTGATGACAGACAGGGCAGTCTCTCTGTCGCCCTCTTTGTTTCTTCGATTCAAGGCGAACGCATACAAATACCTGTGGGGAATTTCGTATGTGCTTCAACAGATTTAATAACACACAATAAAATAAAATATTTTATTAAATCCTTAAAGGGAAATTTATATGAAAAATTGTAATGAATTAATTTATAAAGCATTCAAATTTAATTTTAGAATGCATTCTTTAACATTATCACCAACCATACCTAATGGCAGGGGTGTTGATGTTGCTTCTCTTTGTGGGGATAGTTTTGAGATCATCTACCAACTGCACCATTGCGTCGTAGTCCTGGATTTCTCTGAAGGAGATTAGGACATGAAGCACCACCTCCCCCGAGATGACATTTGGGTCGTCCAGACGTTTTCGCATATTGTACAGGAACTTGGACAACTCCTCGCCGGACAAGGTGTCTCGCGCTTTCCGCAGGTCTGCAAGAAACTTTTCCTTCAAGTGCGTCCTAAAATATTTTTATGATTAAAAATAAAAATTGCTTAAATTTCAAAAGTACTTTGACTGTATCTCGACGTCTTGCAGCAGCTTGCGAAGTTTTGTGGACAGAGGCTGACGTGTGTCTGGAGAGTTTTCCTCACCGATTACATTGGCAGTGGCTGGATTTGTGGTGAAACAGGTGCCACAATCTGAGACTCTGTACGAAATGAAGGTGTAGCAGCCACAAGAAGTCTGAATTGAACCAATAAAATTATTACTAAAAAACAATAAATTAAATAAAATGTACTTTTAATCTGAGGGTGGTGTCGGTGTTGGTGTCACAGAAGAGAAGTATGTTCTCTTTCATTCCGAAACTTTCCCTCACTCCTAGGTGGTAAAATAGGGCACTTTGCTGCTCTTGGACAGACAGATCGACCACAGCCACGTCCGCATTGTAAAAAGCGTCTAACACATTCGCTTCTCCAAAATCAAGTCTCTTGAACTGTTTTGAAAAAAAAAAAATGAGAAAAAATTTAAAAGCATAAAATTTAATTTTTTTTAAGAAAAAAATAAGTTCTTTTTAAAAATAATTAATTTAACCTGTATGTGTTGGAAGCTCGCACTGACGAGAGAACACGCCTGCTTGACACACTCGATGGACGCCTTGCGGTGCATCAGGTGCTCAGGGTTCTGCAGGTCGAGCATGCAGACGACGTCCATCCTGGTGCGACCTGCGGAGGCGTCGCTGTGGCCGCCGAGACTCTCGGTCTCGCTGCGCGCCTCCACGTGCGCCTCGATGATGGACTCGATGTTGTTCACCGGCATCCTGTCTCAATTCACATGCGTCTATTATTTTCAATCACCAGCCCGCTGGTCACTTGTCCTTGAAATCAAATAAACTCGCATTAAAAATCTACAAAGGCGCTTTATTAAAAATGGCGTCTTGGGTGGGATCACGGTTTTCTCGTAATTTCTCTTCAAAGCAAATTATTTCAGGGTGCAGGAATTAGTTATTTTAAACAAAATTTTTGCCTCTAAAAATTTGATTGACTTATTCCGACGGTCTCGCGATTATTTCGCTGAAATATGCGTTTTAAAGACATTAAACAGTGAACGCCCATTTGAACAACAATCGGTCATTTTAAACGTTGAATTCAAAGCTTACCGGCTAAAGAAAGATTAAATATGTTTGATTAAATTTTAATTCAAAATATTACTCAAGCGAAATTAATATCAGCGGAATGTGGTATAATTTAAGACGGGTGAATTTCATTCGAGAATTCTCACCTACGATTTATTTTGTTGTTGTCTTACTCCATGTTCTCCATTCCATTGATGCCACATTAGCCACATCAAGCGTCACGAATTTTTATGACGAAGAGAAGAATTTTTATGTTGGTAATCCACGTCACGTGGGATCACGTAGGCGGCGCAAGCGATTTTTGTTGCCTTTGGGCGGCCTGAAAATTTATTATTAAATAGATTTTTTTTCACCAATTTTCCAATAAATTGAAAAAAAAATCGCATGTTCAGTAGTTTATAATAACTTAATTACTCTTTTAATTAACTAATTTCACAATTATTTTACTGCAATATTATAATGAAAGAGTCATTACATCTAATATAGGAAAACCATAAATATATTAGATTACTTTTATTGCATCCAAATTTGCCTGCAGTTTGATTAATTATGCAACCGCGATGGGCATAATTAATCTTCCAATACCTAGGCAATGCGGTTAGCCTGTGTTGCAATATTAGCACGGGATAATATGCTACTTAATGAGACCATGCGGTTGTCTAATTTCAGTAATTCCAAATATTGTCAACTAACTTCCAATTAATGTTGAACACGTTTAGGCAGGTTCTGTCTTCCCCTCCAATTACGTGTTGTGTTGATTGCCTAATTTCATAATTTAATATTCGCATAGGGGACTAACTACTATATAGCTAAGGGGAAACCTCAATATCACTGCGGCCAAAATATCATTTGCAGGTAGATGGGGTTTACACATTTTTATAAAGACACTTATGCGAAGAGAGCAATTTTATAGCAATTCAAAATTATTTATATTGTATTAAAAAAATAATAACTTTATTAAGCAAATAAAAAATTAAATAATACATCTCATAAAGTGACAAGAATTTTTTTAAATCGGCCAGAGTAAAGAATTCATTTTTAATATTAAAAATAAATGTAAAATTAAATAACCACAGGGATGGACAAAAAGTAGAACTGAACGAAAAAATTCATTTTAGTCAATTTTTGTAGCTTATTTATGAATAATTAAATAAAGAAATTTTTTAAATCACTAAATTTTGCTCAAAATATTGGTTGATTTAACTTTTTGTGCCCTTTTGCAATATATTTTTGAATGGGCACCAGAAATGGTTTTTTATGAGTGGACGTACTTAAGACTGGCTTTTCAACTTGAAATCACATAAAATAAAATTAGCAAGTTCATATTCATGAGCAAAAAGTTGACTTATTTTACTCTTTAGCAATCTATTTAGACGGTTTCAAAATTGAATTTTAACGCTATAGTTTCTAAATGTCAGATAAACGCGTTTAATAAAAAGTTGTATATTGAAGACCCAAAAATTAATTTAATACGCTGATTATTTCCCATCCCACTTAATTTTTGGCTCCGATTTTTTTGCAAAACTTTAAGAGAGGCAACTAATTTTTTTAAGTGTGCTCTTCCATGATAAAGTGTATATTAAACATAATTATAGGCAATGCTTTTGGGCGGTTTTTTTTTTGTCGGACACCATAGAGTGTGCCGAAGAGGAGGAGGTGCTTGCAGCGTTTGCGTTCGCCCAAATCGAAAATAAACCTCGTCCTCTGGAAATCCCTGCGGTGATGTAAGATGCTCAAGTTTAGACAAACGGGCGCTACGGCGTATAATATGCGATGCTGGAGCGCAGGCCATGGATAACGCATGCAACACGTATTTAAGCGTGCGGAGGGAGAGAGGAAAAGGGGTGAAAGGGAGAAAGAGCAAGCGTTGGCGGCCTAATGTTGGTGTTGGCGCTTGTCGCCGCCGTCTAGCGTCATTTTCACTGCCACTCGGCTGCAAACAACAGCTCAGATTTTTCTCGCCACTCCACTTGCATCGTCCAAAATGCCCGTGAGTTTGTTCACCCCAAAGAGACCCAAAACTAATTTTCTAATTAACTTTAATTTAAAGTTCAAATATTAGAGCTAAAATTGTGAATTTTATTTCGTTTGAAAGTTAATTTTTTGAAATTATATTTTAACTAACCTAAATGCAAATAAATCTGGATTTATGAAATTTTGAAAATTATAATTTAGTATTTATATAAACAAAAATTTATAATGCAAAATAAATATTTTCCTTACATTCTTCTCAATTTTAAATTTTTTTTGTAAATTTGTTTCAAAAATAATAATGATTTAAAAACTTTTGGAAAAATTACCCGAATTATCTATGTAATAATATAAATATTAAAAATACAAAATTTATAATAATTTTTTAGGGAGGAATAACCTTTTAAAATTTTACGAGGTAAAAAATTACTAATTTATGATGCTTCTAATCTGTCTACTTTAAATGTTTTTTAATCGTCAACTGATTAATTTTTGCATTGTATCGCGTGTCAAAGTGGTCCCTTTTTGTGGCTATGATGCATGTGTGTGTTAAAGTGTCACCAACACAACCGCAGAGATTGATCTGTATCTCTATCGCGCCGCGAGACATTTCAGTCTGTGTGTTGGATGCACCTGTCCACATCAGTCACTAGGTTTAATTCTCAACTCCGGCTCCAACTGACATTTGTAGAGAGAGACTTCACACGTGAAACCTTTTTCGAAGAAGTTCTCTGGAGCAACCAAAACATTTTCTCTCAATATGTTAAAATTTTTATTTTTAACCCTCTCAGCCGGTTCAAAATGAGAAATTTAAATATATTGTGCAATGATTTCGTCTTTCTCGAAATAGACTGGAAATTTATGTGCTTGTCCAGTAGAATGTTGAAAGAAATGAAAATTATAAAATATAGGGGAGCTTGGAGGAGAAATCGTCAGAAGTGGGTTATCCCTCTTGTTTTGAAACGGGGCTGAAGAGCTTAATACGAAATTAAATTGCTTCTGGCTCGGATATTGTAGAAAGTTATTTCTATTTTGGAAGTCGTTTGATGCAAGTGGCTAATTAGCCTAATTCAATTACAAAATTACAAACTAATTGCCGAGAGAAGAGCAAAGACTTATAATTGGCGAGAAGGAATTCGCTGCCATTGTTACGTTGGTTGTTCGAAGGTACAAGAATAAATAATTTCATTCAAGAAGTCGCCACTTTTGAATCCTTTGCCTACCACAATAAAATAAAGTTCAAGGACAAAAAGTTCGCACGTCCAATTTTAAAATTCAGTCGTCACACTGAAATCTATTTTAAATGCGTACTAAAAAAATGATAAATTTAAATATATGTATAAAACCTACATTTATTTGAATACATAAATGCTTTTAAAGTTTTGAGTTTTGACTGTAATTGATTGTATGAATTTTTTTAGCTATTGAAATTTAAATGAAAAAACAAAAACCTCATATCTGGTATACTTTAAATTTCAGATCTGATTAAGAAATTCAGAAAGTTTGAACTGTACTTTTCGGTACTTTTATTAAATCTGGAAATTTTTAAGCAGCCATAATCCAATAATCGATCAGACCGATCAGAGATGTGAAAAGCAATTATAATCTGGGCAAAGAGATGCAAATATTTTGGAGAGCTATAAATTTAGACGGAAGTTTAAGAGATAATTTAATTTGGAATAAATTTAGTAAATACCTCAAAATACAGAAATAACTCTAATTTTAGGGAGCATGGAAGACTAATTAAAATACGTCAAATTTTATTCGTGTTGCAGCGACTACTTGGCTGTAAGCGCTATAATTTTCATACCTGTGGCATGTTAATTGCCAAAAACGCCCCTGCGAAGCGGCAAAAGTTGCGTAGGTGCCGTTAGGAGTGTTATTTACGCTCGTCTGGCCTTTTTATCTGCACGGCCAGTGAGGTTGTGCAGGCGGCGAAATTTATACTCTTTCGGCCTCTGGCTCCAGACGAGATTATAAAACAGGATAGGACGCGGCGCTCATCCCTTTATCGCGCCGCCCGCACACAAAAATATGTATAATCTGAAGAGGAACGACGGACGCCTGGCCAATTGCGTCAGAGGGGAACGTTTGCCAATTTTTTCACTCGCGCCCGTTGGAAATAAAATTACATAACTGCTGCTTCGGGGAGTTAGTGTGTGTGTTTGGCAAAACTATTAGTGAAGACCAAACCGCAATATAACACACACACTCACAGGCGGTCGGTTTTGAGCTCTTGTTCGCATTTATGTCCAACTAGTATGTTTGGATCCTGGTGCCAAAAGAAAAATGATAGTTATTTCTCCAAAAAGTACAACATTTCCCTCAATTGCCTTACTTCAACCTTTCAACGCAGAAAATTAATTTTAGTGTACATATTAGCAAATTTTGTATTTCCACTATATTGAATTTCCTACAGTAGGCGGTGACAGATTTGCATAGTCAATTCTTCAAAGCCGCCAACCTCGGGAAATACTAAACCCAGTATTGAATTTTGAAATAGGAAAAAAATTAGGATTAAAGGAATTACATTAAAAAAGTTGCAGTTAAAAATTCAATTTTCTGTTTTGCACGGGTTGCGTATTACATTGATGGGCAATAGAAAATGAATTCGTTTTTTTTTTTTTAATAATAAAAATGTTTAAAGTAGTTTTGTAACGCTTATCGTTAGAAATAAATGATAAATAGTCCTTTTAGCCCCGTCAAGTCACACCGTCTCTTTCGAAACTTGAATACGTTAGACAAAATGAAAAATACTTCAGCGCGAGTCATTAGGGAAATTCAAGCATTTTTTTCTAGTTGGTGGAGAGAGTGAAGTAAAGAGCGGAATGATGTATTCTCAACGCGGCGTGAGGGCTGAAAATAGCGCCGACCGCTGTTCGCGCGCTCGTCTACTAACTTGCGTTCGAGCCGTCAAGTTTTAATTTACCAAACAACCCTTCGTCCTGGATTATAGTTTGAGCGTTTCGAATTTTAATGGCCGTAGAGCTTCAAAAGAGGGCTCTCGGCGCTCAGCACGCGCCGCCAGTTTTCTCTAAACAAACAGTGTTTTATTATTTTTTTTGCACGCCTCCACCAAATGATGCGTGGAAATTATTTTGAGCATGAAAGAGATTTAATATATTTCATGTGTGTTCTGCTTCAAAATATTATTCCGGAGTGAAATTTATTATTTAAAAAAATCCTGAATATATTCTATTTCAGCCTCGTAACAAGGAGCAGGAAGCTGAAGTTTTGCAATGGATCTTCAATGTGATTGGGGAACCAGTCCCTGCGGGACAGTACGAGGACATTCTCAAGGACGGCGTCGTCCTTTGCAACTTGATCAACAAACTTGCACCCGGCTCGGTGAAGAAAATTCAAACCAAGGGAACCAATTTCCAGCTCATGGAAAATATTCAAAGGTTTTATAATTTATTTAATAAAAAATAATTATCTATTAAAAAATTTAATAAAAAAATTAAATAGATTCCAACAAGCTGTCCGTAAATACGGTGTTCCAGACGAAGAGATTTTCCAGACTGCCGACCTTTTTGAGAGGAGGAACATCGCCCAAGTGACCCTTAGCCTCTACGCCCTTGGACGGATAGTAAAAATATTTTGTTCTGATTTCTGAGGAAACTCAATTTAACATTTGCATTTTTTAATTTTAGACGCAAAAGCACCCTGAGTATAATGGCCCCTCTCTCGGACCAAAGATGGCTGAAAAGCATGAGCGCGAATTCTCCGAGGAACAACTCCGTGCCAGCGAGGGCCATCTCGGACTGCAGATGGGCTTCAACAAAGGAGCCTCACAGTCTGGCCATGGTGGCTTTGGCAACGCAAGACACATGTAGAACCAATTTTCAAGCAAAAAAATACCAAAAATAATGTATATATATATAATTTTAATGGCTTTAATATTTAACTATTTCTATGTGCGCGAATAGTGACTAAACTCAATTAATTTAGAGCAAATTTTGTAAAAATCATAATCAAGGGGATTAGAAAATTTGTCTCAACGTATACAATTTTAAGTTTCAATTTGACAGAATTTTCAACGAATTACTGCATGAGTTTCTTTTTGTTTGCCTTTATTTATTTTCCACATTTATCGTCAATATTTTGTCTACAAATAATTAAGTGCCTTAAATAAATGTGATGTGAAAAAAATGACCAAATTTTATCATTTCACCTCTTATTTTAAAAATTTGCGAAAAGTGGATCGATTACACAATAAAAATTTATGGCTCTAAAAAATAAAAAAATATCCTCCTGCCAGATACTACAGGATTTTATAAATATTTCAAGCTAAAATAATTGGGAAATAATACGTAGAAATTTATTTCTTTAGCAAGGCTAAAATCAACGTAAAATCAGTAACTGGAAATTATACGTACATAAATTTTTCCGCACCAAAAATTAGCTTCTTCAAATTGTAGTTTTTTTTGGTCAAGATATTAATTCACTCGTATAAATAATTAGAGTAATCATATTGGTATTGAATTCAAAAGATAGCTTTTGAATCTTGTTTCAAGCAGCCGACAGAGACGTTATGCAACTGGCACCACTTGTTTGCTGTGTATGTTGCATACCTCACTTAAAGAGTTTCCTTCTTAATTCACATAAATTTCGCTGCATATGAATTGCACCTAGCATAAGTTTAAACAAATAATTAATTCATTTAAAATATTACCATAAATTTGCAATAATACAGACTTTTTGTGACAAAATAAAAGCTATTTTAATAAAAAAGATTTTTGAATCTTTTATAATATTGCAACATAAAATTTTTATTTTTCGCCAATAGAAATTTTAGTTGTTATATACGGTTATTTAACTTTACTTTCATTTTATTTTCTTATTTTTTTTACAGGAAATATTTTTTAAAGTTTTCCTGGTTTCTCCCTTCTTTACATGGAAGATAAATGAGAAAAATATTATGTTTTAAAATATATCATCCATTTTAGAGATTAGAAGCTTTGTTTGATCACCTTATCTTATTTAACCGTATGAGATAAAAGCCACGCCGAAAAGTAAAACTTGTGGCCTTTAGCACAGTGACAGTGTGAAATCAATCATGGAGGAGCAGCAGGGCTTGGCGGCTCGGTCCGCCGACGTTGTGTCCGTCGGTATAGAGCTCAACAAATCCATCCACTTGCATAAAATCAACCAGAAGGAGCCTCTGCAAACCGTGATCGATACATTGAGGGCCAACCTATATCTTCCGCAAACGCAAAATTACGCTCTGCAGTTTGACAAGCGCAACTGCTTTGTGACAGAGGCCAATAGGTTGTTATTTCATATTTTGATGGAAAAAAAAATATCATTTTAAATATTTTTAAAATAGGCACATGATTAAGGATGGTGATGTCTGTCTGTTGGTATACGCGCCTGAGGTATTGGTGACCACCATCCTAGCCAGGCTGAACGAAAAATGGGCTATGGCAAAATTGCTGGATTTTATAGGCGACTCCTCTTTAGTAGAAAACTTGGAGCTCCAGGATGGTGTTTCGAAGATAGTAGGAATTTTGCAGGATGACGATCTTTTGCCTGAAGTTCAAGAATTAGCTTTCCAGGTGAATAGCCCTTATTTATCATTTTTGAAAAAAGACAAAATAATTTATTTAATAACTATTTAATCAAATATTTGCCAGGTTGTGGCAGAGCTTTTGAAACAGGACAAGGTCCCATTAACTTGGATGAAGGATAGACTTCTAAATAGGGTAATTTTTTAACTAATATATTTTAATGATTTGTAATAAATTTAATTACAATTATTTTTTTCATAAAGATATAATTTTCACACAAAAAAATTGTGACAGGTGAAAAGTCAGGTGTCCGGAGAGTTTGTATCCTCAAATAAAGCCCTGGCTGCCTGTCTGCGAATTTCCGTAGCACTTCTAGAGCAGGGCGCAGAGCAAGACGACCCTGTGCCGTGGGAAGCGTTGGTCAATCACCTGGAAAATAGCTCTGCGGAAGTTGTCGGAGCTGCCCTGCGCCTTTTTAACGCCTACGCCGCCAAAGACAGTGTGCCTGAGCGAAAGGTGCTCCTGAGAGCACGCGACATTTTGGGCACTCGACTTCAGGGTTCTGGCTGGCCAGGTGATGACCTCGAGCGGCAGCTGACCTCCTTTCAGAGCAGACTGATGGTGCGGCTGGTGAAAAAATTTGAGAGCCCTGCCAACTCCGAGGACGCAAAGGTTCAGCGCCGCCTCAGCACCCTGACGCAAGGTGACGAAGGGCGCGAGCTGAAAGACACTTTTACCGAAACAACCTTACGTTTGCTGTCCGAGTTTGTGGTGCCACCAACCGAGTCGTCACCACCAAGTCTTTTGCTGCTCGACTGCCTGACACACAGCGTCCGCTGCCAACTGCACAACCTTTCAGACAAGTTTATGAACGATCAACCTTTTCTTCATCTTTGCCAGCAACTTGTTACAATGCAGGTAATGCAAAATTATAAAAAAAATTAAATTGCGTTCTAACTGCTAATATTATTTCTTATTTTAGATGGAAGCTTTGGGAATGTTGTCCAAAGACCATTCCAAATTCCATTTCCACCCAGTTCTGTTTTGTGAGAGAGCCTTTGAAGAGATGTTCTGTGCCTGCATCCGCACACTGAACAAGACTTGCAAAGAGATGCGAGCCAAAGGAGACGACCTTCCAAAAATATTGCGGGTGCACGCAAAGAAAATGCAACTAGCCTTGCAGACTAGACCTGTGAAGCTTAAAGAATATGAAGATGCTTTGAGCTGCATTTCTTATAATCAGGTTTTTAATTTTTATGAAAAATGCATGATCTCATTAACTAACCTTAAAAGGTTTGGGAGGTTTGGCATGAGGAAGAACAAATGAAGCAGGAACAAATGTTTCGAAACAAGCATTCCTTCCTTGAGTTAAGGGAGCAGCTAAGACCGCAGTATGAAGAAATGGTCAAACTCCAAAGACTGAAGGTCATGACTGCAGGAAGTACCTTCAAGAGGTATTCCTCAAAAGGTCATCATCTTATGGTATTTGCACGAATTTTAATTTTTATAAACTTGTTTAATTTAAAAATTTTCTCTCCAGAGAAGCAACAAAGAGCGTTTAGTGACTGTCAAGTATTCACCAAAAAACAAATCATTTTTATTCACTGACGCGGATGATGAGGACTTTTGGATTCATCTGTCGAATATAAAAAATGTCCTGACTGGGCAAAATTGTCCTCATGCCAAAATTCGGTTAGAGCTTAAAAGGAATATTAGTTCATTTACAATATTTTCTTGCGTCCAGGGTATCAAAACACAGCCCAGAGTTTGCTCTCTCCATCAATCTAAACATTGCCGACCCCGAGTTCCTCAATCTGGGCGCTGCTTGTGCTAAAGAGCAGGACTATTGGTCAGATGGAATCAGAATGCTAATGGGTGTGTAATGATGCAATATTCGTCCTACTTTGTTAAAGATTTTTAGCAGGCCAAAGCATGCAAAGTGAAAGCTATACAAAGGAATTGCAAGACTTGCTGGATATGCATTTAAAAGTGCACTTCCTAGGCTTGGAGGCTTTTGACTTCCCTGATGGTCCACCACCGGAGATTCCAGAAATACCATTGTTTTTAAGTAAGCTCTCTTTTTAGTATCTTTGCATTTAAAATTAATTTTAAACCAACCCAAGAATGTGTTTTAAGATTGGCAATATGATGCAAACAAAAGAGGAATGAAATCTTTGTTGGTTTTGTAGAAATCAATTATATATATTTTACTCTCCAACGAAATATACTAAAGTATATAATACACAAAATTTGAGAAAATTGCATTAAATTCGAGGCAAAAAATTAAACAGTTTGACACAACACGAAAGGATACTTATCTCTGATTAATCACAGATGTCCACTAAGTCCGCGGCTGAGCACTTTTTATATCAGAGACAGAGAGATGATTCGGAATCGTGGAACGGCGGTGTCAGGACGGGGCCTTCAGGGAGTTCTGCAGATGGTTCGGCGCTCCCGCAAACATGTACTTAAGTTTGTAGGCTTCAGCAACAATGACACTGACCTCGCTGTTGCTCCAGTTCGAAGTTGGCAGGTTTTGCAAAAGCAGCAACAAACTCTAAAAATATTATTTTAATATATTTTGTAGACTTTTTAAATAATAATATTATAATAATAAAAGAATTTGATAAATTTCGAGATAATTACCTGAAAATCTCTTTGTTCGAGAAGCTCTCTTCGCCAGTGGAGCAAAAATGCTGCACAGACGTAGAGTTGAAACATTGCAAATCCATCTGATTCGGCAAGATAAGTGTCCCAAAGTCTGATGGTGCAGTGGAGTGGCAGTTCTCTGGTCAAAAGGTTGTTCATCCAACGAAATGAGAACTGCAGATAATCTACCCCGTGGTGAATCAGGTGATTGTGTAAATCGACTAAAAAAGTTGCATTATAGATCTACACTTTGTTCATAAATTGAAAATTTACCATCATATCTCTGGATAAGTTCTTTTAGTTGATTGACCTTTTGTTGAATCCCTAATTGCGCAAATATGTAGTTGTCCTGAATTCCGTCAAGGAATTTAGAAAGGCACCAAAATGAGTCAGCCTCAAGAATTTTTCGTTGCTCCTCAGGAAGGCTGACCACGTCACAATTTTCCAAATTAGTGCCTGAATGAACAGAAGTTTTAAAATAGGACAAATTCTGAACAATCTCATTCATTACCTGGTGCAGTGACCTCTTGGAGGAAGACCATAAAAAAGGGTGTGACCAAGTCATTGATACCCTGGACGTATCCCGAAGCAGGGTGTCTGATGGCCCATATGAACAAGATTCGTTCGAACATTTCCTGGACGGTCTTCTGTTGGAAAAGAGGAATGAGGGGACTCATCCGAGGGATGTCTATGTGGATTTGGCGGTAGGTGTCTGCGTATATTTCATCCCGCTCCGTGTCGTAGTATTGGCTGACCAAACTCCAATAGTCCAGTCGCTTTCGTTCAAGTGCATTTTCTCTCCTCTCAAGACTTGCAGGCAGATACCCCTAAAACACAATAACAATAGTTTCTTTTTCTCTAAAATTTCTGAAACAAATGGAGTGGAAGATTGGTTATCTGAAATTCTTAAGTCTAGATAATTTAAATATTATTATTAATTGTAAAAAAAGCACTTACAGCAAGTAGTCGCCAAGTTATTGCTCTCACTTTAATTGGAATGCCTGACCAACTGAGCTGTCGAAGTCCATCCAAATTTAGTAAATTATCTTCCAGAAGCATGTGGAATTTTTCTACTTTGCCACTGTCACTATCTGTGGCTGCAAAAGGAACATTTTTAACAATTTCAAAGCATATTTATTTCCACCAACCTTCTCCTTCAGCCATGGATATTTGTAGGCCTTTTTTTGAAACAAGTAGCTGCGGGTGGCCTGGGAAGTGCCTGGTCGTAGGAGATACAATTGGCTCAATGCCTAAGGGATTGTCTCCCTTTTGAATAGCAAGCCGTTGAAGAGAGTCGGCCTTTCGTTCTTGTGAAATGGCAGGCTCCTTAGCTGCCTCTCTTGCTTCACTCCGGTGGCTATTGATGACACTGAGAGCGGCAGACTGGGCGACTTTTCTCGAAATACGAACATCTGCGTCAAAATATTAAAAATTAGAAATAATAATACATTATTATAAGTGAAAGGTCAACCTGAGTGCTCCAAAAATTCGTCATCTTCCTCGACCGCCCAGGCGTCATTCACACTATCCTGGAAGTCCTGGTACGAGGTTGAAGTCGCATGGGCCTTCGTTTTGGGTGCCTCTTTTTTTGGGCTAGGTCTGTGAAATGACTCGTTGGTTTAAAGTGAAATAAATTTTATAATAAATCTCACACACCTGCCAGGTACATTTTTTAAATTCTTTTTCCAAAAGCTGTCTGCGTTGCTTTTAGTTCTCAGTCCGTCCATTGCGGTAAAACACTCATCTGCAATTGAAATCACAATAAAAATAATGCATACATAATCCAATCATTCAAGAAAAAGCGAAAACAAACGAGGGGTGTGTCGAAAGCAATTTTGACAGAAATTCACCTAAAGTTAAGGTCGATTTTGTTGAAAACCAATTGGAATGTCTATCTGCGTCGTCAGTTAATTTGTTTAAGTAGCGCTTCAAGTCACTGGGTGTCGATTTACTTCGACAAGAAGCCGAAAATCTGGTCGGCGAAGCGAGACGGAGGGACCAAAACAAAAGGGTCTTGAGAAACGACGGTGACGTATGATAAGGTTCTTGCCAACACAACAGTCTAAAAAGACAAATTTAGTCTATATTTTTAAACGTGTAAATTGTAAAATTATTTAATTTAATTTGAAAAAGACCAATATTTAACTGATTTGTAATATTTTCAATGAATAAAATTGTAATTTAGGTACTTTTTAAAAGTCTTGTTACTTGGTTATGGTGGTTAATCTGCTCCGTGCGACGAGAGGCGCGCGCACATGTAAACACGGTCAATCAGATTACAAAAGATTAGTGCGGAGAAATGTCAAAAAATCTGTATAGTCAATAATTATTGCTTTCAAGCGCTTATCTTGAACGCTTTGCCCGCGCAAGTGGATCGGAAGACTCTCTTTAGCGAACGCTTTTCTCTGTGCAGCCATGAACTCTCTCCTCGGCACAGGTGAGTTTGATCAAATGCATTTTTATCTGACGTCCTTCATCGAGGGCGAAAAATTTGAGATGGCATCAAATTTATATAAGCCAGAAACTGAAGCAGGGGAATGTCAATTCGTAAAATGTGAACTATGCTGAATGTCTGAAATTTTCGAAATGAGAATCTGACGAATTCCTACAATTATTGAATTGTTAGAATTTCTTCCAAATCTCATGTCAGCTCTGCTTGATCGCTGTCAATAATTTTTCACATTGCTTTTTTTCTAAGTGATAATCGGTTTTGCAAGTTTTGGAGCTTCATAGGAAATAAACTGAAGTTTGTATTTTTCACAAAAAGTGGAATTTTTATACTGATATAATATATTTTTTTTAAATTTTTCTTTTATAACAAACAATTAATTGGTCTTATTCTTTGGATTACAACTAGAACGGATCCATACAAGTTTTATGGGACACAGTTTTTTTTTATGAAAAAATCTCTGGCAGTCGTTCTTTTACAAGCTTCATTCGACTGCTGAATGATAAGGAAATCAACTGTTTAATGCTCTCTTTCTGGTTTAACCTTTCTGCTCCTGTCTCCGGCGCAATAAAAACAGCACAGAAATAGTCCATTGTCAGAGGGCATCGTGATGTTTTTGTGATTTCGCGATAATTAAGGGCAGCGATTGCCGCCAAGATAAGAAAAAAATCTCACGCACGCATTTTTATTTTCCGTCTCCGGCCTTGGCAAAGAAGCTCTCAATCATTCCGACACTTGATATTTCCAAGTGTGCTTTTTGAAATCAGAAAAGGTTCGGTGGTTTTGAATTTTTTTTCCTTCTTTCGTTTATAAAATTTAGGATGTTTATCGCTCTCGGTTTTCCCGGCGTATTTTAAGGGAAGCACGTAATAACCACCGTCAGAAAAAATTATTTTTAGAAAAAAATATCATTCACAATTCACGTTGGGTTGAGCACTTTTGCGGCTTTTAGTTGAGCGGGGAAATCGTTCTCGCAGTTATGCAAGAAGCAGTTTTTTCACTGCGCAGCTGATTCTGTTCACTTTTTTGCAGAGTCTGTTTTCTGATTGCGCTTCCTGTGGTCTGAAGTCGCGAGGATGGACTTGGCGAGTGTGCAAGAAGCTCTGGAAAATGAGGAGGTGATTTTAAATTTTAAATAAACATATTAAAATTTCTTGTAAAAAAACGACTTGGTTTACAACTATATATTTCAATTTTTTCACTCAATTGAAAATTATTTTGAAACATATAAATTATAATTCTTAATTTAATAAAATTAAATTTTTTGCTATCTTTTGGGCAAAAAATCCTCACTATAATTTTTAATGCTAATCAATTAAAAAAAACAGCACATTGCACATTGTTATAATAATATTTAGGCTAATGGTTTGAAAATATGAAAACATGTTTAAATAATGATCATTTTCATTTTATTTATTGCACTGAATTTTGTAAAATAATTTAGTGAGTAGCTTTTTTTTTAATTTACAAAAAATATTCATCAAGTTTTTAAAGCCAGTTTTAAATTGCTCTACTACAAAAAATTTGAGTCCCAAAAAATGAAGTGCTAAAAATTATGGAATCTCGCTTCATTGTTTTTAGACTTTTGGGAGCACCCTTATCATTTTTCCAAACTTTGATTTTGGAGCAGCCTCTTGGCAATCACAATAGGATTGATTCTAATCTAATAGATCAATCAATTTTTTTCACTTAGCTTGTTCCTTTGGGAATCCCCCAGTCCCTGTGTACTAAAGTCTAGCACTTAAAAAAAAGTAGATAATACAAAAAGGGTCATTATTATGGCGGCGATAATATATGATTTTTAATCAAATTCCAATTTTTGCCCTTAATGACTGTCAAAGCACTAAAGATAAACTAAACAGGGCATTTAGAAGTCACACTTAATAATTATCACATTCACTTGTTTCAGTTCCAAGACGCTTGTGAAACCTTGACCAGGTGAGTGCAACTTTTATCCATATTTCTCGTGATTATCTTCTCCATTTTTTTAATATTGATTAAATGCAACAAAATGTTGTTTTTGGTTAATATGAAAAATTAATCAGTGCTGATTGTTTACTTGACGTTTTTTGATCTGCACGTATTGATTAATCGTGTTCCCGTATAGATAAAGTGTTAGCAGCACTTGAGCGATTGTGAAAGTCATTTTCTAATAACTCATTAGCTGTATTTCGTTTTTTTTTTTCAAACTTAGGCATCATTTGAGCTCTCGTCCTCCAATCAAATTCAAAAATTTAAATTTCTTAGTTAGGTCATAATATGTTTATTTTTTATCATTACAATAAATATCACAGTTGAAATTTGATAATTAAATGACTAGTGAGGTCATTGAACTCCAAATTTGTACAAGTTAAACAATTGCTTGATAAAAGAGCAATCTTTTTAGGCTGCCAGACGACTTGAGTTTGGAGGCAACCATTGATGAATCATTCGAAGCAGTCCACCTGTTCTTCAACAACAAATTTGATGAAGCTCGCAATCTCCTGCAACCCTTGTAATGAATTTTTATTTTCTGAATTAAAAAATTATTAAATAATTAACCAAACTTCAGGGCTAAGTGTAGCATGTACCATGCTCTGGGATTGGCCGTTTTCAAATACCTAGAGGCAATACTCACCTTTGAAGAGGAGCACATCAGTGTGGCATCCGACGCCCTCAAGAACTGCATAAATGTTTGCAATCAGTATCGAAGGAAAAATACTTTCACCGAGTCCCTTGGCAAGATGGTCAAGAAAACAAACTATGACTCTTATACTCCTGGTAATTTTTATTTCTATTGAATTCTTGATAAATTATAACATTTTAATTTTTTAATTTATCAGAGGAGGTGCATGCCGAGTTGTGTTACGCAGAAGCTCTTCTGCTGAAATCCGCCCTGACTATTATTGAAGATGAAACTCTAGTAAGTTTCATCAAGGCCGGACTGAAAATTCGCTCGTGCTTTGCCTCGTACCGCGAATGCAGTCACATGTTGAGCAGTCGAACATGGACAAAAGACTGTCACAAGATTCATTTCGAGAGTGGCGTTCGAATGGGAGTTGGAGGCTTTAATTTGGTTTGTTTCAAGCTTAGAATTTTATTACAAAGCAATAACTTTTACCATTAGATGATTTCCCTGTTGCCTGCGAGAGTGATAAAATTGCTGGAGTTCATCGGTTTCACTGGAAGCAAAGTAATTAAATATATTTCTCAATTATTGATGGTTTCAAATTATTAAAAATAATGTGTATGTGTTTTTGCTATGTCTGTGCAGTCGACTAAAAAGGACTTTAAGGTTGGTTTTACCCAAATGATCTGAATTTTGCTTAAAAGTGTGTTTGTAATTCTAAAGATAAGATTTTATCACTATCAAAATTCTAAAGATTGAAAGTTTTGGCACCTGCATTTTATTTTCTAATCACTTAAACTTTCTCCTTGTAGAAAATTAAGTTGGCCCAAGAGAAATGTACCCAATAATCATTCAAGGGACATCGGGTATTTTAAATCTTAATTGCCAGACAATTGATAAGCACTTTCTATCTTGTTCTCAATTTATAAACTTAATCATTTTGGATGCTTAAAATACGTGTTTAGTTTGAGTGACTATATATAACTTTGGCTATTTTTTAATCTCTCTAATGTTGCTCAGCAAATTGGCCTACGTGAGCTTGAGACAGGCTACAAGCTGGATAAGAGTTTGCGCCAAGTTTTGTGCACCATGACCCTCCTGGGCTATCACCTGATCATAGTCTTCACATTGAATCATGTTGAAGGCGACACTAAGTTGTGTGAAACTATTCTTCAGAAGGAGTTAAAGGTATATGTCGATAGCTAATATATCCACCAAATTGTATTAATGCGTTTATAAAAATTGCAGAAATACCCCAACGGAGTGTGGTTTTTATTCTTCAAAGGCCGGCTAGAATTTGTGAAGGGAAATATTAGCAGCGCCATTGATTGGTATACTAAGTCATGGAAATCGCAGGACTTGTGGCCCCAGTTCCACCACCTTTGCTTTTGGGAGCTTATGTGGGCCAATTGGTAATTAAAATAATTTTTGAATACTTAAAAAAAATTGAGGAAATTTTCTGTAAGGTGTAGAAAATTTTTAATCACCTTTGTTATTTTTTTTTTATTTGTTCACAGTTTGAATCAGGATTGGAGAACTGCTGCTTCATTTGCTGAAAGGTTGGTCCAGGAAAGTCGCTGGTCAAAAACTGTCTACATGTACCAAAAAGCCTCCATGCTGGCCATGTTGGGGGATAATCTTACTGCCGATGAAGCATACGAGATTGAAAGACTTATTCAGTAAGGATAAAAAAAATTAGTCTCAAGTCATTCTTTATTTTACATTTTTACATCACAGGGAAGCTCCCAAGTTCAAGCAGCGGATAGCTGGAAAATCCTTGCCCATGGAAAAATTTATTGTGAAGAGGTCGGAGAGATACTTTAAGCAAAAGAAGCACCTCGTTTTGCCTGCCATAGAACTGCTCTATCTCTGGAATCTATTCAGAATTCTCGGCAAAGACTGGAAGTTTGCAGAAAGTGTTTTTAGGCTCATAGAGAAAATGCTCAACGCACCACCAGGTTTGGAAAAAAATATTCGTGGAAGGAAATTTGTATTAATTTGCATTCGTACAACTTGCAGTTGCCACGGAGTATCTTGCCGACAACCGAGCTCTCTTACTGCTACTAAAAGGTGCTTGTTTGAGGCAAATGAACAAGCCTTTGCTAGCTGAAGAAGCCTTGCGCGAGGCCATCAGTTTCGAATCAAAAATCAAAGAGGATAACTTCATTGTGCCATATGCTGTTGTCGAACTTGCTCTGCTCTTGCTTGACCAGAAAGATAGGGAAAAGGCAGCCGCCTTACTGGAAGATGCCAAGTATGTGACAATTTATTTTCATTCATATTTTTTCCATCACATTTTGTTCAGGAAAAATTATACTGGATACTCTCTGGAATCAAGACTCCACTTCAAGATCCACTCTGCCCTGACGGAACTGTCTGAAAAGAGAAATGGCAAAACGGATTCTATGTAATAGCTAATTTTTGCTCTCCAAAACTCAGTTTAAATTGTAGGTTGCATTTTGTGTCAAAAGTTTGTTAAAAATTAGCTGAGAAAGTACTAATAATTTCTAAACCACTTTTCTTTTTTGTGAGCTTTCCATTCCAATATGAAGTAGTTCCTCTTATTATTTTTTGTTATAGTTACTTAAATTACATTTTCGCTCACTATTATCTTACTCTCTTGAGACTAATGGATATTTTTTTAAAGTGGAATTGCTAGTTGATCGAGGACTCACTTTGCCCTAGTCTAAACAATCAAAGTTAATCGCCTTGGCTGTTAAATTAATATGGTGTTTACGTCTGATTATGTGAAGTTATTTTTGTGATGGGGATCGCTCTGTTAACTTTTTCTTTCCAAAGATTTTATGGAAATGTTTAATATACTAAAGAGTTGTTCAAATAAATATATTAATATATTAGGAAAACATGATTTAATTACACCAACAAATTCATTTACATGGGCTATCTAATTATTTAACTACGAACTTCCTCCTTTCCACCTCCTGCTGGACCAATTTGTCAAGGTCTTGCAGAGGTCGATAGTAGTAGTGGACGCACTGGGAACCAACAAACATGGTCAGCAAGGCAGCTGCCGAGAATCGCACGTACTGTGCAAGAGTCACTCCAGCGGGCATTTTAAAAGTTTCAGGCTTTTTCCTTCTTTGCCTTCAGAATAATTTCATCAGCCAACTCTTGCACTTGTCGACGTTTATAAGTTCGGTCTGCAAATTAACATATAAATTTAGAGAATAAATATGATTCATAAAATTCAATGTGTACAAAAATTTGTTTCTCCAACGGTCCAGTTGATCATGGAAAATTCAAGGGCGGCTCCGAGGGCAAAGAAAAGTGGAAGAAATCTGTAAATGCCAAAGGTTTTCTTGCCAGGCCACTTATCCAGCAGCTTCTGCAGTCCTCGGTTGTACAGCTGCATTAAGTAGCTAAAAAATAAAGATAAGTGGTCATTAATAATAAAAACTTTCGGTTTCAAAATTATGTATGACGGAGACACAAATTCTTCCAAAATATTTTTCAAGAAAATTGAAACGAAGTTTTCCTTAATTATAATACCTTTCTTAAGAAGCTATAGGCATCATTTGCAAAATACCAGGGCACAAAAAATAGAAGGCGAATCAAAATTAGGTAAAAGTTAAGGCAAAAATTGCATCGATCAGATCAGATGTTTCTGCTGTCCTCCTGTTGTTTTGATTTGAAGTGAATGACGTGATTGGTAGATTTGTGTCCTGGTTCAAATTTAGCGCGCCAAAGCCACATTGCCAAAAAATTATTGCTTTTCAAAGAATATAATTAAATAGTTTTGTTCATTTCCACCCATTTTGACATTTATTTTTACAATTTTTGCTGTTTTTGTTAACAAAAATTACTTATTCTAAAATACCAGTACTTGGAATAAACTCTTATTGCTGGGAGGGGAATTTTAGATAAAACGCCACAAAAGCAAGAAACAATAGGGGGAAAAATAAAAAATTTTGCAACGAGCCGATGTTAGTCTCCATTATTTTTAAATTGAATTTTATATTATTTATGATGTATTTGTCACAATTTTTAAATATTACTTTTTTGCTTAAAAAATTAAAAATTTATAAAATTAAAGGACAGGCAGGTCAATTTAAAAATCGGCATGTTGGAACACTGTTGTTTAAATTTTAATTGTAATTCCTAGTCTGATGATAAGGAAGTTATTATTTATAGCAATAATTAAAGCATTAAAATTAATATTTATCTAACGATTTTTTATTATCAAAAAAAAATTATTTTGCGAATTTCTTATCACAATTTGTAAATAAATTAATTTTAAATATTACTTATTTTCCTGGAAAATGAATTTTAATTTTATACAGATGATATTAACATTTTCACATGAGTCTAAAAAAAATTAGCAAATTCTTAATAAAAATGCGTTGACAGCGCTTAACATGTAGCTGAAGCAAAAAAGTGTGTCAGCTGGAAATGATCATTATTTCGTCGAGCACCACAATTCGCTCCGCAAAACCGCCGAGGAAGTGGAGAATAGGGCCTAATTGCATGAGAGAGACCGAGGGTTTCGCTGTCTCTAGAAGGACCGAGACAAAGGGAAAATTGTTGCAATATATCGGAGAGAGTGCGGGAGTGCGACTGGGCAGCGAGACGCGGCCGGGCTGCTGGGGTCCGTCCGGCGGGGGCGCCTTGCTCAGGGCGGCGATCAATGGGGCGGGCGGGGCGCATGAGCGGACTATGGATCGCAGCCAGCAGCTCGCTAGAGCCTCACTCGAGCAATTCTCAGCAGTCGCGGCGAGGCCGGCTGAGGCGAGGCATCTTGTACGCGAGCGGCGGCCATGGAGCCCACCCATGGCTGAGGGCCACGTGAACGGCGGTCAACGGGCCCAGCTGGAGGCCCACCGGCCCACTCGCAAGACCAAGTCCGTCTCCTTCCACAGTGCTACCAGTTTGCCCACCGAGCGAAAAATTTCCAGTGGTAAGTCCACAATGTTCGCGCTTCTCGCATTTACATTCCACTGTATAATTAGATTATTTGCTTCTCCCATTGTCCCGCCAAATGAGCGCAACCCTCTCTTTTGGGTCGTTTCACTTTCTAATTGAATCTGCGGTTGTTATTTTTAACGTATTTCTCGCTTACCATTTTTACTCTTACACCCCTCGTGGGTTTAACCACGTTTTAAAAAAATCTTGCGTATGACCCTCAGATTAAATTTTTCATCAGAAAGGATATCCGTCTTTTGTGACCGCAGGAGTAGCGTTGTTTTAGTATGCTTCGGTTTTACGAGTATTTTTGCTCAACGCAAATCTAAAAACGTTTTCTTATCCAGTAATGCACAGAATATACAGTTTGTATAATGTGGTTTTTATTGGTTTTTATAATCATCATTTTAATTGAATTGGCTGTTATCAATTGCCATGAATTGCAGATAAGATAATGCACATATTAAAATATATAAATTCAAGGTTTTTCAATATTTTTATTTTTATGAAGTTTTAAAAGACGCCGAAAGTAGCAATACAATAAATAAAACAGATGTGATTCTCTTAAGAAAACTAAAAATATGTTAACGCGTTCTGCAAGTTTAAATTTACATTTAACGTAATGTGATTAAATTATGTTTCCAAAATTAGTTACCGCTAGCACAAAAACGTCTTTAAAAAATTATTAATTTTGACGTGATTTCAATTTCTAAAAAAATACTCTCTTTAAAAATTACAAAAATTTAAACATACAAGTCGTTGGGACTGTTCCCGCTATGTGGAATGTAGAATTTTTTCTCTAAAATAAAAATGAGCGTTCCGTGACGGCTTTTACCACATTTCCTTAATTAAGTGTGTATGTACTTGGGCAAAAGTAAAAAGAACCCTGAACTCCTGCAGCTGTAGAGAACGCAACCCGCATAACGTTTGTGCTCTGCGGGCTGCGCTACAGTAGTGGGTGTATTTTGAAACTAAACTCTCCGCTTTCCACTTCAGCTTCGCCCTTTGGGTTGTTACAACAAGAGAAAACCATGAAACTATCTTGCACAAAAAGATATTAATCAACTGCTATGTTGTTTGTTGACTATCTTACTCGAAAAAAAACGTACTTTCCGCCAAACTTTTAGTTGATCGCTGGCCGGAAAGTTTTAGAGCAACTTCTTTTTTCCAGTTAAAAAAATTCATCCGAGTTTTCCTCAACTCTTTTAGGTATAAATGCGAAAAGTCAAACAGTGTTGCTATTTAAATAAAAGTTTGACAATATTCAACCAAAATAACCAGGGAAAACATTAATCTCACAATTTAGATTTGCGACTTCTTATATCTCTGTAAATAAACTGGTGTGTGAATTTTTTACTCTACTTGTAAAAGGGAAATATTTTATAATTCATTTCTTCAAGCAAACGCGAATTCTGAGTGAAACAAAAAGTAATTGAAGATGTTTGTCGTGGAAGACCAAGTATTTACTTAAAACAAAACACACAGGAAAAAAACATGCATTGTTTTTATACACATTTGCCCGCATTAAATGTACGTTAAGATATCGCCAGGGGAAAAAGCACGTGTTTGTTTTAGCCTTTGTCCTTTTGAGTGGCTTTTTTGGCGTCCCCCCTGCTCAAAGTGACGCTTCTTGAGAAAGGCTGGCCATGAGCAATTGAAATTTTCAGCCTTTGAATTATTCAAAGGGCGCAAGAAGTGTGTGCCAACAACTGCTGCTGGCTCGGGCAGGTTTGATAAAAATCGCGAATTTTCATGCAGGCCGACGAATCTCGATAAAAGCCCGAGACGATTTCAAGAAAGGGAGTGTGTTTTTGATGTTGTAATAAAGGTCAAGATGGCGATTGGTGAGAGCAAAAAGACGAGGGGCAGAAAAAAGAATTTCATTTGCCTGCAAGGCTGGAGAGAGAGGCTTCTTTTCCATACACATTCTAATAAACTGTTGCTCGGGGCAGAGAGGCAGACGATGAGCGACCGAGTGCCAATTCCGCGAGAAAGAGATTGCCCTCTGTATCTTCTGAGCAGCCTCGCCAAACCCACACCCAAGTTTTCTTCCTTCCCTATATCATATATACGACGACGCGCAAATTGAAACAAAACGCCTCTGGGGCGCCGCAATAAACACAAATTCCTCCTCCTTTCGCATAATATCAGGCGCTCTAACCATAATTTTCCTGGTGCGATATTTCCGGCAAGACAGAGCTTTTGAGGAAAAATTGATATTACAATATTGGATACAGATAAAAGTTTGGCAATATATTGTTGCCTGAAGTTCAAATTCCATTATAAACTGAAATATTTTTTGCAAATACTTCCTCCAGGTAATAATTTTTTATATCTTATTATGCTGAAAATTATAAGAAAATTCTTGCAAAACTTAAATTTGTTGGGAATTTTGTGGTAGAAAATTAAACATCTAATTTCTATTACAATGCGTGAAACTCGTCGTGTGTCAATAGAAAATGATGATTATTATTTTAAAGATATAAATTAGCAGAAAAAGCAAAAAAAGTTGAGAGATTTTGGAGAACAAAAGATATCCAAGCGAAATGAAAAAACACCGTTTTAAATTCACAATTAAATTTTTTTACTTTCTATATTGTTTCCAAAAGAATTTTAAAATTTTTATGTTTTTAACACAATATCAATAAGCAAGTAATTAAAATGGATTTTCCCCGCATGCAGCAGTCCCTCTAAGGCTGAACGTTTAGACTGACGCCTTTTTTTTTTACCGCGCTGCTTGGTCAACAATGAAATTCACAGCCGACTGCACGCACAAACTGCCCTTCAGCCGGAGCGCTCGCTCACATACACAATTTGAGTGCTTCGCTCGTCGTAAAGTGAAAGAGTTAGAGGGCGGGAAAGAGGGAAAAACGCTGGAATGACCTGGGCTACGTCACGAGTGGAATAAATCAATTCGAAAATCCGCCCCTAACTGGCATCGGAATGAGAAAGCGATTAAGCACAAACGGGGCGTTTTCCCCCAATTGCGTGGGCGCACGCAAATATTATGATATTGTAACAAGTTGGAATTCACCGGCGGCACGAGGAAAACAAATTCGCATAAAAAGAGAGGAGCGAGGGCGAATTGACGTCGAACGGCATCTGCGTTTGGCAGCGCCCGAATTTGAAACGCGCCCCATCTGACTGGCAGTTGTTTGCGGCATCCCCTATCACGTGGATAGCTAAATTTTTGTTTGCGGCCGCGTCAATTTTTAGATTAGCTTGCATGCAAAAGTGGTGGCGTGTGACAAAAAAGTAATTTTCTCGCCTATCTATAAAAGAAAAATAACATTTTTAAATTTTTGATGAAAAAAAACGGGCGTGGCGCGCTTCTGACAATTAAAATAACAATCAGATGTTTTAATTAACTTCATCAATTAAAAATTAATGCATAAAATCAACTAGTATGATAATTACAAAGCTTACAAATTATTTATTTAAAGGATTTGATTTTAAATAGAGTAAAATTTTCTAATTTACTTTATTATCCTGTTTTATAAGTAAATAATCTGACAGATTTTTAACAACAAGGGACATGAGAAGGACTCACTGATTGTGAGTCAAGATGTTGCTTGAAATTGAATTTTGATAGAGATCTTTGACAGAGAGGTCAAGCTGGTTTCAAAGTTTAAAAAAAAAACATATTTTTATTTTTAAAGTCTTATAAACCGAAATAATATTTTTTTTTAGTTTATATTATATTTTTTTTAACTTTGAACGTTTTATTATCGTTTCAGATTTGTATATAATTTCTTTTATATATAAATTGTTTGGATATTTAATTACACAAGTGGAGTGTCCTCTATCAGGTATATCCGCTGAAGCTCAATTGGTCTGAACGTAATAATGACTTTCAACATCTCAAAGTGGAGTGGTCTCTTTTTGCGAGTTCCACACAATGCGAGCTAGCTTTTGTCAATCACGTGTTTCCGTTAAATTGGCCACAAAAAGGGCCGACTCGAGTGGAATCTGCCACCGCGTTCATAGCGAGAAAGGCGCGACGTTTGTTTCACTTTTTTTCTCATGCAACATCAACTACTGCAGATTGCTCTACCATTTCCCTTCTCCGACAGACAATGGAAAGAGCTGTTGATTCGAATGCGGGCTAGGCACGATTTTTCCACGGAAATTCTTTTTCGTGCTTTTTCCTGCTGACGACACAATGCATGGGGCTGCTGAAACCTTTCAAGAGGCGTTTTGAAAGAAGCTTTTCCAGCCGGACGAGTGCATGTACACGGTATACAAGGAAAAAAATATAATGTGCCTATTGATTTATGCTCATGCGACCAGCGAATAGAGAGCCGATCACATATTATGTTCAGGTTCCAATCCGATGAAATCATGAATATATAATAAATGAATTTTGTATATATTCAATTCCGCGATTCTGAATTTGATATGTAAAAGGCTTGATTCTTGCTTTTCGTTGGCTTCCTTTGCAGTTGGGAAATCCTTTCTTATAGTATTTTATCTTTTTGTAATATATTTTCTTGGTTTTTCCTTCCCAATGAAATATTAATTATTGATCAAAATGTACCCAACACTTGAAATCTTCCATAATAAGAAAAAGGGGAAATTAAAACCAAAAGAATGGGAACATGTATATAATTGTCAAAAAATTATGAGCTTTAAATAAATGAGCAACATATAATAATTATTCTTCAAACGTGCTGTAAAATAAATAACAATAGTAGAATGGAAAACATAAAAAAATCTTCACTGAAGTCTAGACTGAACTCCACGTGACTTATTTTATGCAACTTCTCGCGCAACAGAGGTGTGTCAACAGTCGCGACTGAATGCACTTTTTTAACCAATTTCGCTGCAAGTAGGTCAATGACATCAAAAGCAAAAGCCACCCCCTGTATGAGTTGCGGCGTGTGGTGTGGGTCGCCTCGTTCGTCATAATGGGATTTAAATTCAAGTCTCGGCGGCGCATATTGTCCCGAGTCAACGTACGTCGCCTTGCCGCAAATTGGATCGAGCATTCGATGC